AATACACAAAAATATAATTATAGTATATACGAATTTGATAAACACTTTGGCTCGGCATGCTATAATTAATATGACCTAACCTAAACCTCGCCAATTCGCTGATAGATGTCCAAACTTTTGTGCCATCTATATAATTGACTGGATTTGCCGTTTTTAAAATATTTTTAAAAGAAATAGAAAGATTTAAAAATGCGTTGAGTTAGAGTATATAAAGTAAAAAAAATTAATTATCAAACAAGAGGTAAATTATTCATAAATTTTGAAGTATATCTCTTAGAAGAAAAAATTCTTTGGTAAACTATTTTAAAAAATAACTAATGACAAATATATCATATCATTCTGATTTTATTGGTGGTTTTTATGACATTTCCTAGACATCTTGGGAAAGTGTTAATTTTGTTTTACTTTTATTTTTAAAATCGCAACTTGCTTTTATATCGTTGTAAATAGTAAAAGCATGACTTTTACTTAATATTAAAGTGTTGTTAATTGGTTGGTTGTATAAAACCAGACCCGAGGTTTGGGTCTAAAAATCGACCAAACCAGCTCTGAGCACAGACCCGGGGTTTAGACCCTCATTAAGATAAATTATCCTTAATAATAATTATTAAACTTTATTAATTAATAAAAGATAAAAAGTATAAATTGATATTATAAATTATACTATATTTTGACTTTAGAATAGGCACACCCCCCCTTTTAAATAATACGAATATCCAAAAGTATTCTAATTATCTCAATCAAATTTAGGAACTAATGTTATCAAATATATATGTCCAATAGATACATTTCTAAAATTATTTAAAAAATCAATATTAAAAAATAGCGATGAAATTAAAAGAAAGTTAGCACCTCATTCTGAACTAGTAGTAAGGGGAATTGGCATAGCGATACTAATTTATTAAGCCAGGGTATGCTGACACACTTTCTAAGAAAGTTTCCTAAACCCATAGACCGGTCTGTTTTTTTGATTCCTTTTTTTCAATAACGGAAATTATTTTTAAAACTCACAAAAGATTTATATTTTGATTTAAAAATATAAAAAAAATGAAATAAAAATTTATTACTGGATATATAAAATGCAAATGTGTTATATTAAACATAGTAATTACTTATTAATTAGCGAGAGGAAAATATATTATAATAATGTATTATAGTGATCTGCATAGGGCCTAATTTTTCAAGCCCAACCCAAAATTTTTAAAAAATGTTTCCCGGCTCGAACCCGATTAAAAAAATTTTACAAGCAAGCCAGCAAAAATTAATTTTTTATAATTATTTATATATTTATATTTTTTTTAAAAAATTTCGGAAGAAAAGGAAGCTTTTCAAGAAATTTTTAAATATTTTTTTTACAATTCAAATAAATAAAAATTATTTCACTTTTCAATGATAATATTAAAAACTCTTATATCATTCAAAAAAAATATTCTTGTAGGCACTCTTTTTTTAATATTTTGCAATCTAATAATAAAGCCATCAAAAATTTTAGAAACATGCTGTGTCAATATTTTTTTTAAAAAAAAAATTTATTTTTTTCTTTCATCAAGGCAGGAGGAGAGGTATAAAACATAAAAGAAATATTATATTAATAAAATTGAAAAACATCTGGATAAAGGGGTAAAAAATTAATATCATGAAGATCTTTGAAGATCGTTGATCGCAGCGATCAAAGATCGTTACACAAAATTTTTAAAAAATAAAAGATCTTCAAATTTTACGATCTTCAATCTTTTAAGATCGTTGCTCAAATTTTTTTATAAATAAAAGATCTTCAAATTTTACTAGATCTTTGAAGATCTTTTTATTTTGAGCAGATGTACAACTCTGGTCTATATATAGTCATAAAATATCTTTACAAGATAGGAGGTTAATTTTAATAAAAATAAGCCTGGAACAAATATAAAATATATTTTTATTAATTTATATAATATTATAAATTACTTGTATATACATTATTTATTTATAAAAAGTAATTAGACATATAGTTGATATTCCTATATTATTTAGAATTAGTTACAAAATACTAGGTAAAATTCCCCTTTTACAGACATATTTGACAGTTAGAGAATATATTAAAGTTAATATTTTACAAAATTTACTAATCAATGTTCTTGATAATAAATATAGGAATTTGCATTCAATTATTTAACGCATTCTATTTATTTTAAATAAAAATGATATTAAAAATTAATCTTCAAATTATTCATCCCACAATGTTTTTAAAAGATATTTTCTGATGTCCATATCAATATTTTATAGTTTTCTATAAAATATATAATTCTCTATATTGGTAAAAATTACTTGATTGTCATATGATAATTGATAAATAATATTCCACTGTTTTTATTGTGCTTTAATTTTTTTATTTAATTTATGATTTAATTTTATCAATAGTTTTATAATTATATTTTACTTTATCAAGATAAATAAATTAAAATTAGTCACTTTATAAAAAATTATATTTAATATATTATATTATTTAGTAATTTTATGGATCTATTATTAATAATTATAATACATTTTACTTTTTTCTTAAGACTTATCTTTGGCTATTCTATTTTTTAAAAAACTTTTTAGTGCACTTTTTTTTATATATAAATGCTCTTTTCCAAAAATGTATAAATTATGATTAATAGTTTTACAAAAAAATATCAACTTTTACATTTTTTCTTTCAAATTATTGTTTAAGATATATGCTTACATTTTTGGGAGTCACGGAGTGGAGGGAGGACTAAGGGGGATATTATTTATTAGCTTAAAATTATATTCACAAAAAATGATTTATTTCTGAAGGGGAGGGGGGGGGGAATTATCCCTTGCCTCCCTCCCCCACATCTGGCTACGCATATGGTAGTTTATCTAAATGCAAGTAGAGAATCGCTATCTCAAATTTATGTAGCTTTGATTTAGCCTCAACAATCATATATACCTCATGGAATTTTTGATTAATATTATTTTTTTTAACAATAATATAAACGAATCTCGTAATTTCTGAAAAATCAGTATCATTTTTTTGAAAAAGATTGTATAAGATAGATGTATTATTAAATAATTTTTTTAGAGGTCAGCTATCTTAGCCCTGCTGGTCAGGAAGAAAGGTTGAACGGATCGGTCCGGGCTGAAGTTTCGAAAATATTTTTTAAAGCTGATGTTAGGCTAATTTATGTCCTTTTTCTTTATGGGAAGGGCAGGGGCGCATGAAAACAAATTTCCAATAGCCAATTTGGGCCGGGCCATACCTATCTTTAATTTATATGTGCATTTCAATAAGATTGCCTGTCATATTGAATCTTATAAATCTGTTCCAGGAGAAATATTTGGTTCAAGCCATTCTGATATTCCATAAGAGCACTCAAAAGGTACATAATTTAAAATAGAATATAATTTCATTGAAATAGAGATACATTGCGATTTTTATTTCATCAAAGGATTTTATAACTAATTTACATTTTTGACCACAGGGATATTTCCCTCCCTCTGCTGACTACGAGCATGAGACCATATTATATGAGAAAAATATTTTTTTACATACGAAAGATTGCAAATTATTATTAGATATATATATTATAAAGGAAATAAATTTAAAATATTTAACGATGAATAAAAATAAAATAGAGAAATTTCAATATGTTTTATTCTTTTTTTTTAATTTGAGACCTAATAATATAATAAATTCAAATAATATTATGCATGATATGCAATTTTAATTTTGGAGCAAAGTACGTTGGGAGATATTGCAGAAAGGCTTAAAGCGAATCAAAAAATTTGGATTTTTTAGATGTGGTTAAACTTTATTAATTTTTAATATATGTACTAGAATTTATTTTTTTTGCTGATATAGAAAATCATCATTGAATATTTAATTATTTTTTTAATAGTTTTAGTTTATAAACAAGAAAGATAATTCAAAATATAGCCCCCCTCCCTAATGGAAGAGAATAATTTTTTGGGGATCTATATCTAAAATTTAAGGCCTCTAATTTAAAATTTGCCTCTCTGCGCAATGCGGGTTTTTAACGCCCATTATTTAGATTTTATATTCATAGGTGATTTTAGAAAATAATATAGAAAATAAAATTTTCTTTTATTTTTTTCAAAATAAAATGTTAATTAAAATTTATCTGTAATTTAGACAAATCAATTAGTGATTTTTATTTCATTGTCCTCAAAAATGAGTTTCATTTATAATTAAATTATCCACTTAAAATACATTTTTATTTTAATATCCCATGGAAATATATAATTATAATTTACTAATCCAATTCTCATACCAACCAATGTTATATTCCATTTTTTATTTTTGAACTTTTGACTTCCGACTATTTGTGATCCAGTCCAGTTTTATTTTTTATTCACCACTATTTTTGATTAATTCCTTTTCTTATTCATCTTTTCTAATTCTTTGCGATTCCCAGGCCCAACCCACCCTGACTAAAAGCCAGGTTAGGGCAAAGCCTTAGTTTATAATTATATTTCATTAATATCAGTTTACGATTAAGTTATAACATTTTTCAAACATACTAAATCTAATTGATAGGTGGATTCCCACAGTATATATATATAAACGAGATGGGGGTTGGCATATATAGACGTTGCTCCTAGGAATAACAAAATCATATGTCTATTCAAAATTTTTTTAGAAGAAAAGTCCGATTAGGTGAGGGTATCAGCCATATTTATTAGTGGTCTTTAAGCAAACTTATTGTTTAACTTTGGCTGTTATATCCATTTTTAGCCAATTACTTTTTTTTTGCCAATTATAGGCTGCAAATTATTTTACAAACTATTGAAACCTTTAATATTATGTGAAAATGTTTAAATTGTAGATATATCGATAGTTTAAAAGATCTTTTTTGAAAATATTGGGCTTGAAATTTGATCCTTTTAAATGAATTGTTTGACAAAAAGATAGTTCAATTCAAGACTCAAAAAAACTTAATATATCTGAAAAAGATTTAAAATAACATTTTATTGTTTATGTCATATGATGTGTGGTCCTAATAATCATCCATTCGTTATGGAGATTGACCAAGAAATTGATACCAAATTATCTTTTATATTGAATAGTCTGCGAACTAATGATAAAGATATATTATTATCACATTTCCAAGAGCTAACTAAATGTACCTTAGATAAAAATGATGCAATATTTTGGCTGGAGATGCACAATTGGTATGATTTTTTAAAATCGTGTTTACTTAAAATTGAATAGGAAACTTCAGCAAGCTATCGGAGATTTTTTTGACAATTGCTCTGGTGTAAGACTTTCACAATTATCAATGAAATTTATTCAACAAGAATTATCGGACGAAGAATTTATTGTTTTGCCATCCATGCCCTTTACTAAAAATTGGAAAATTTTAAATGATGGTTAATTTTTATGCACATTTTTGTAATATTTGATTAAATTAAGGAAAAGTAAGTTGGCCTATAAATTGTCAATTATCATATTTCTCAGGAAATCAAATTATACTTGAATATCCCTTAATTATGATAAACTCCTTAATGCCAAATGAATTTCAGGATCTTAATTTAAATTTTATTGCTCCTGAAATTCCAGGAATTTATACAACCCAATTAAGAATGTATAGTCCTTCAGGAACTTGGTTTGGAGGTTATTTTAATATATATTTTTTATATATAGAAATTTTATTATTATATAGATATTATATGGCTAATAATCAAAGTTCAAAAGCTTGAGGAATTATCCATTTTATCTAATCAAATGTCAAATATGAGTAATATTATTATTTATTATAGATTAATTTTCAGCATTGACTTTTATATTTTATTAGACTAATAAAAATCAAATTAATTATATTACAATTAAATATTATTTTTTTTAGATTATTGTTATTCACAATTTCTTATAATATGAAATTGCAAAACAATCAATTTTTTGAATATAAAAAGTATTTTAAGATTCAAAAACATAATTAATTTTCTTGGCTCTAGCCATATTAATATGTGATTGGGTAAATATATCCCATTTTGACAAAATATTTTTTTTAATAATCTATTATTTGATGCTATAATAATCCATAACCATAATAAAAATGACAAAACTAATTTAAATTATTTTTATTAATGTTATTTTGCAAAATATTACTTTATTAAGTTCCATATCATTCAATTGAATTACAGATATCTAGTCACGTGTGTTTTTAAAATATGGCTATATTTTCAAAACCAAAATATTATTTTTTGTTTTTGTTAATTTCAAGTAGTGCTGTAAAGTAATATTGTTACTAATGGTGTTTCTTTTTTTTGAGAAAAAGGAATACCAATTGTTACTTCTTTTAAAAAGAGTAACATGTTTATTTTTTGAATAATGATAATAACATTACTTACTAATTACTTCAACTTTTTTTAAAATAAAAATATATTATATTCTATTGTAATATTATTTCTTTTAAATTTCAAAAATAATTTTAATTGAAAAGCTATGTAGAACACCAACTCTTGTTTATCTGATCAAAATTTTAAAAATCAATTGTTAAAAATAATAAAAAAATTATTACAAAAAGATTCCAATTGAACTGATACCCTTTTTATTTTAGCAATAAATTTATCAATTCTAAAATTAATTCAACAAAATTTTATAGATTGAGAGAAGGATAAATTATCAATGTTTTCTGCAAATTTCATCAACAGGGTCCAAAGTCATGCACATTCAAAGTTGTAAAACCAAAGTTTGGACTTTTTAACATATAAAATTTTTTTTATTTTTTTTAAATTAAACTTTACATTTAAGAATACAATAATTAAAAAAAATGGTTTTCAATAAAGATGACCTGAGTTTAATTAAAATTTTAAGACAAGAAAAAGATTACAGAGTGAAGGTTTTTGAATGAATTTCCTAATAGAAAGTATTGATTGATTGCAAAAATTGATGCTACCAGATCAACAAAAAACGGTATGGTGGTGGACCAAACACAGCTTGTAATATGGAACATGTTTATTGAGGAGCCAAATAGAACTCAACATTAAACCCCGACCTCAGTTCAGGCTCTCCTTCTATTAGATCCGACACCCACAACAATTCGTTAGTATCCCAACAAACTGGTATTTCGCAAACTTAAGTGCATTGGATTATCCATAAAGAGCTACCACTAAAATGTTTAAAAAAAGAAAATCCAGGAGCTACCAACGCAAATAAGATCGCCTGCCTCAAACAACTTACTCTCACATGATAGTTCATTTCATATGGTTCATACAAAATGATAGGGCTTACATTGCAATTTCAATGAGAAAAAGCAATTTGCAGCCAATCGTTGCTTCTTACTCTTTCAAATTTCTTTAAGACCTTATAGTTTCGTTGAGGTATCATGTCTTGACTGCACGGAGCTCATCTTTATCGATCCAAGGGTCAAAAAAATGGCGAGATCTTCAAAGAACATAAATTTTAGCTAATCCCGGTCATTTTGAACATCAGCTTTGAAGTACAACATTTGACACAAATTAATTTTAAATATTGATGTTTCCATGTTTTTTGCTAATGGCAACGTTTAATAAAAAAATGAATTTTATATGTTGGAAAGTTCGAATTTTGTTTGTCCAACTTTGAATGTGCATAACTTTGGACCTAGTTAATAGAATTTGATGAAATTTGCAGAAAACATTGATAATTATCCCTCTCTCAATCTATAAAATTTTATTTATTAGTTGACAGATTTATTGCTAAAATAAAAAGGAAATCTGTTCAATTGGAACAGGGGACCTTAATGGCCCTTAATTCTTTGATCAAGTCCAGCCGAGGGTAGTAGTATTTTTTTTAGGCCCAGGCTTACTAAAGTTTCCAAACCTGGCACAAACCCATGATAATTTTCAAAAAGAAAAATCCATGCCCGGCCCAAGCCCATATCCAAAAATTTAATAATAAACAATATTTAAGTGTATTTAGATATTCATTTTGTTTAATTATTATTAGAAGAAAAAAATTGCAATATTTTTTTATTTAGCAATTGTTTTAAATAATCTAAATTTAAATTTAAAAAATTTAGGCCCAAGCCTATTAAAAAAAATTAAAATCCTAGGCCCCCCAATAGAAAATATAATATTAAGCCCATGAAAGTCTCTGATTGGAACACAGTTTATATTATTTTTATATAATTTTATTTTTATTATCTATGGGAAAAAATTAATAAAAAGAAAATTTATATGCAATATTAGTATTTTTAGAGAGCGATTAACGCGTTTATGGCGTTCCTTTATTTCACATAACGAGTAATGGTGACGTGGCCGTTTTTCTAACTTAACGATTAACGCGTTTTTTTGAAATAACATTGTAATTAAAATGTTGCATATCCATTTAAAACTTATATATTTTTATTTTCGAATAAAAAGTTACTTTTATTTTTGGATATGGAACATTTTCACTTTATTGAAGAAAATTTTTTTAAAATATTTTTTCTTTATTTGTCAAGATATAGAAAAAGTTTTCTGAAAATACAATTTTAATATAAGCTATAAGTTGCTTAGATATCATTCTAAGCATTATCTATCAGATAATAAAAAGCAGGGATCCAAACCAAAACGAATATCGATTCGTGTTCAAGTTCGTAAAAAAATAACGGTTCAGGTTCGGTTCGTAAAAAATTAAAATATCGGTTCGGTTCGAACCACTAAAAACTGGTTTGAACACTTTTGTATTCAAACCTACATTCGAATTATGTTTTGGGAAAATATTTTTTTATTTTATCATTAATTTAAAAAACACTTTTATTAATTGCACATTATAAAATAATATTTAATTTATAAATATAAAAATATATATAAATGATTAATTTTAATATGAACAATATATTTTTTTTTACTTAAATTTTTTTTATTTAGCCGCACAATTAATATATTTTTAAAATTTGTCTCCAAATTACATCTATAAGGAGATAGCATAAATTTAATTGTTGAAACATCTTTCCATACTAACTTGGGTAGCCGGCACTGCCAATATGATATCAGATTTGATGTGTCATTTATATTAATATTTTGGATTTAATTTTTCTCTAAGCATTATAATTTTTAAGCTTAAAATATTTAAAAAATGTTGTAAAATAACAATATACTAAAATTTATAAAAATTATGACCGACACTTATCAATCAAATGTGATTGATGATAATCTTTAATTCGAATATAATTGAAATCTAATAATAACTTACATATTATTTTATAAGCATAAAATTATGAAACTCGAACCGGTTCAGAGGCATTTTAGCGGTTCAGTTCAGGTTCGGTTGGAATTTTTTTTAACGGTTTAGGTTCGGTTCAGGTTCGATAAAAATACCGGTTTTAGCGGTTTAACGGTTCAGTTTCGGTTTGGATCCCTGATAAAAAGTCTATGCCTTTGTTGAAAATGGACCATGTAAATTTTTATAAACTCTCATAACGAATTGGGAAAATTTGATATGGAACTTTAAAATATTGACCCAACTATTTGTAAAATTATTTATTACAAATATTATGACATAAAGATGTGTTGCATTTTAGGGCTGGGAAATTTTCAAAAAAAATTATTCAATATAAATAAAAATACCTTCCAAAAAAGGTATTTGAATTCAAATGCAAATACCTTTTAAAATAATGTATCATATAAATACTAAAAATACCCACATAAAAATATTAAATATTTAAATGCAAATACTTTTTAGAAATCGATTTTTAATTACCAATAGCAATTTATGTTAATAATACCACATTTAAAAATTTATAGGTATTTTTTTTATTTTAGAATTATATCACAGACACCAAATTTTAATTTAATAGAACATTAATTTTGGAAAATATTTTGAAGTACTCCCTGTCTAAACATGTAAGGAATGTAGAGACTTTTCTATATATTCTGCGAAAAATATCTTATAAACATCATACTATCTTAACTCATAGAACTAGATTAGGTAAAATCTTGTGTCTATATCATCTTCAAAAATTTTAATTCCTTTCATTTTCATTATGAATGTTGTAAATAAAATAGGATGAAACAAATACTATTCTTGATTATTTTCTAACTAACTCAGATAACAAAATTAATATCAGAATAAATTGAATTTTTGCATAAATTTTTTATATAATATGAATAGAAACTAAAAGTATTTATATTTAATATTTATTAGAAATTTGAAATACAAATAACTAAATACTCTAAATTATTCAAATAAATTAAGTATAAATAAAATGAAAAATCATAAAAATGGAGCTTTTTATTTATTTAATCCTCATTTTTTTTTTAAATTTTCCTTTGAAACAATTTACATCAAAATTATTCAAATTTTCTTTTTAAAAAGTGCCGGAACATAAAATGATTGGGGTCATGCAAAGTAAATTTTTTTTAAATGAGCTGTGCGTGAAATATGGTAAAGGTTGTTCACAAATAATATATATATTAAGACTAAGATTTATATCTTATGATGATTTTTTAAAATTGTTTTAATAAATTATTTTTAGACTTAGCCTTAAATAATCATCAAATGAATAACGCTTCAAAATCATCAAAAATAGATCCACATTCAATGCAAAGCGACTCTACTAGTTTACAATAACTCCACATCTCAAAAAAATATTATCACTCATATTTATTTATTTATTTATTATATTTTATTAAATATAATCAATTATAAAGAATTATTTATTTTTTTAATGTTACATATTATTAAAAATTATATAGAATGATACTGGCAAGTGTATTTATTGTGACGTATCTTATTTTTTATAATGAGAGTTATTAATGATAAGATCTCACATTAAAATTCTTTTCAATATTAATCAAACTGAAATTTATTAGATAACATCGCCAAGTAAATATGCATATAATCGTTATTTTTTCGAAATGATTTAGGCTATGGAGATTTGTCTAAAGCCTTGAAAATCCTTGAAAGCGAACTTCAACTATTTCTAGACTCGCTACAAAATTAAATAATTTTTTAAATTTAGAGTTTTGCAATCTCTTGAGTCTCCTATACTCAGCATTGATGAAACTTATAATTTTATAAAAATCAATTATACATTTTTATATAGTAATAATTTTAATACGTAACAAATCATAATTTAAATAAAGATTATATTTATAAATTAGTATAATATCATTTAATTAAAAATTTTATATATTAATCATTTAATTAAGCAAAAATTTGTGAATTCTTTATCTAAAAAGTAGCATTGGCTTTGCTTTGGTGGCAACTAATCTTCTTGACTTCTGCGCATCTTTATTCGCATTTTGCAATTAATTTTTGCTGTCTCTTATCGCTTGACATCCAAGTTCCTTTTTAGCGCAAACGTTCTTATACTCATTTTATTTTTTTAAAAAAGACTACATTATCTTATTCAGTTCTTTGAACAATTCCTTTTTAATTTTTGGATATATTGATCTTCAAGGTTGGTAAAAACCGATTGTTAACTTATAAAAAATTAGGCATCGAGGGTAATTGTTAAATAAATTTAATTATTGGCATGGTTAGCTTTTAGCTATAGTCAATATTTATCAGAGACCTGCAGGCTCTGCTCTAAATCCGCCGTATTTTAATTTTTTAATATACCCGGGTCTGAACCTAAAAATCTTTTAAAAATTACCTGGTACGGGTTTAAAAAATTTTTCGGGACGGGATGAATATTTTAAATCGTCATCTATATAAATTAAATATAATTATAATATATTTTTCAGGCCAGGTCTGAAAATATAAAACCCAGGGGCGTCACTAGCCTATACAATCTCAAGGGGCTCAACTATAAAAATTTTATGGAGGGTTTGTACATTTGCTCAAAATAAAAAGTTCTAGATCTTTGAAGATCGTAAAATTTGAAGATCTTTTATTTTTTAAAAATTTTGTGTAACGATCTTCAAAGATCTTCATGATATTTATTTTTTTTTCAATTTTATTAATATAATATTTCTTTTATGTTTTATACCTCTCCTCCTGCCTTGATGAAAATTGAAAAACATCTGGGCTTTTAATAAAGGGGTAAAAAAATAAATATCATGAAGATTTTTGAAGATCGTTACACAAAATTTTTAAAAAATAAAAGATCTTCAAATTTTACGATCTTCAAAGATCTTGCTCAAATTTTTGAGCTAGATCTCGCTCAAAAATCTTCAAAGAAGATCTTTTGTACAACTCTGCTCCATATACCTTATTTTTGCGGCACTTTGGCTTTATTTTGCCTAGCCTTCAACCAGGTTTTATATTAATATATTATACTTTTTTAAATGAAATTTGCAAACTCTTAAAAATTATTCTGAATTTCATATTTTCATTTATTATGCATACAAATAATAAAAGTAAAACATAACAGGACATTTATAAATATATTTTTTAATACAAAATATTTATCCATTTATTACAATATAAATATTTTCGATTGCCAATATAAAAATAATCTTGTCTAAAAAATTACAAGTGATAGGTTAACCTCAATTAATAATGGTTTATCACATAGGGCGACATAATTCTTAGAAACCTACATTGACAAAAAGTCATTAAGCTAATATAACGTTTAGTTACCATTTTAGACAATGTTTTATAGATGACTAATAAGAAAAATTTGTAGGAGTAGGCCTAACCAAATCAATAATTATTGAAGAGGATAATATACTAATTCAAATCAAAAGACTATGGTGGTTAGACTTAGATGACATTATGAAGCTAGATAAGTTATCGAGAAAATTATTATGAAATATTATATTTCTAAAAGATTATCTACTACCATTTTAATGATGTATAAACTACTAGTTAGTTGACTATCATTGCTCATTTAAATTATGCAATCAAATGCTCTCAGCAGCAGAAGTAATGATCTTAAATTATATAGCTAAACAAATAAAGATGTTAATTTGCTGTCATAACCATGACACGATGTAAACTCATATCAGATTATTATGGATAAATTGATAAAATAAAAACACTAAAAATTTTTGGAAGAAATAATTATGCAAATATATTGAAGCCTTGAGTTATTTATGCGGTAAAGATGCCAAATTGGAAATGAATCATTTTGTAACTAAAAAAAGAACAGAGTGATATGATGAAAACAATTAAGATTTTAGATATTATTGTTGCACACCTCTAGTAATTATATTATATCTTAAAATAATAGTAGTTTGAAATAATATCAAAAAAATAGGTTAGAAATAAACTACTCATACCTGGGATTGAACCGGGCCCTGCTACGCCTCATTTCAGATCTCTAACCCTTTTAACCACAGCTGACATTAAAAAACCATGTTTTTTTTAGATGTAATAATAATTTACCAGTCAATTAATTTTCATTAAAATGGATTTTATTTTGACATCTCAAACTACCAATATTAATACGTTACCCTCTTAATCCTGATATATTAGATTCTTTATTATTTTTATATAATATGAATTGGAAATAGGTTTATATCAGTTTTATTTTAGTTTACCAAATGCATTATTTCTTCAAATTTAATGATTTAACTTAGTTATATCGTATAAAATCAAATAATTAATATTTCGTTTTAAATTGGAACCTGAAGATTTTGACAATATTATACTTTTTGGCCACATTTTACACTTGGTAAGCATTTGATTAGTTCCTTCAATATATGATGTTAATGTAAAACATTTATCATATTTGGCCATAGTAATGATAATTCATCTGATTTTGGATTTTCAGAATCAGATGATGAGGATTAAATAATAATATCCATGCTTATGCTAATCTATTAAATTAAAATATAAACAATAATAATAAAATTAATAAACTATGTGTTAAAAAAAATGAAATGTGAAAAGGAAATACACAACCGATTAAATTTTTAAATAAATAAAAATATTTTTAAAATTGAACGTTAAATTCGAACGCGTTCGTTAAAACAAAACAGGTCTGGTGGAAACATTATAAGGACCAAAAAGAAAACTAAAAGGGGAATACCAGTAGGCAAGCTTTAACAATCTTAGGTGGCTCAATATTTTTTTTGCTAATATTTTTGAAAATGGACTTTTTTAGGCAACAAAAAATGCAAAATTTTTAGGTGGCTCTTTAAATTTATCAAGCACATTAAATCTACCCCCCCCCCTCCACCTTCAATGAAGCTAGAAAAAGCTCCTTAAGATATTATTTGTTTGCTATATAAAATATGTTATTCAAATTTTAGCAAGTGTTTTGAGTTTTTAATGGGAATGATTTGAACCAATTTAGAGAAGAATTTTGTGATAATAACCAAGTTTCACAGAAAATTGCTAAGATTGCCCTATTGCAAACCTCTACTTTCAACTTTATAAATTCGTCATTATTTGATATTGGAAATTAAGAAATATTGTGATGTAAATTCTTTTGAGATAATTTTGAGGACTTTTTTGAAAATAGTTTTACTCCACTCAGGATGTCCATAATCAAATTCTAGTAAAGCGAATGTCACTATCATCTCCTCAACATCTAATAAATTAAAAAAAAAAAATTTTTGAAAAATACTTAAAAAGACGAAATTTTGGGAAAATGAGTTTAAAAAAATGAATCTAATTATAATTAAAAATTTTTTTTTATTAAATACAGATAGTTTTAAAATTTTTACTTATAAAATGAAATTAGTAGTAAATTGCTCATAGTATTTATTTCATATTTTTTAAAATTAGAAACAAGTAAAAATATGATTAGTTTTAACGTATTGATATTACTGTATGTAAGGTAGAAAAGTGATAGTTATCTTATTCAACAACCTTTTAAAATTATTTAATAATTATATATTTTGAAATCGCTATTATTAATCATTTTCTTTATTTTTAATTTAGGTTAATATGGTCATGTTGTTGGGAAACTCTTAAACTTTTGTGTTGTTAATAGTATCATATATGTAACACTTTCAAACGTAATCGGGATACAGTTCAACTAGAAAGATATATAAATATAATATAAAAATGAGGCTAAAGTTCATTTTGTAAAAAACAAGAGTATTCAAAAAGCTTTAAAAAAAATTATTTTTTACTGGTAATCCTAAAAACTGTAAAGATTAATGTAATGATCTATCCATGTGGCTAATTGTTCCTAGGGGTCTGTAATAATTTTATTATTTTCCCTGTATAATCTTGGTAAAGGATTGGATAAAAAATTTAACAATAAATATCTCCTACAATCAATATGCTAAATACCCCACGACAGTGTCGTTTCCACGATTTTCTTATGGGGGGGGGGGGGGATTTTTGGTGGGCTTTGCCCCCAAACCTCACTTATCTGGCTTTCGGCCAGCTTTCCCCCGGCCTTCGGCTATGCTTATGGTTTAAATAATTATATTTCTATTTGTAACTATTATTTACTAATTTGTGCTAATGGATATTTTAAGCCTATTTTTTATTATTTTTAGTTGGGTATATTATAATTAATAAAGTTTTTTAAATGTATAGTTGAAATAAAGTTTAATGTCATTTTTTTTATAAAATTTGCTTTAAAAACTAAAAACTAGCCTCAGCTTAAATTCTCATACAATATAAGTATAATATAATTTTTTTATTGAAAATACTAATAGTAGTGTAAACGGCTCGTTTTGAGCCGCTTTTTAAAAACGGCTAACTCAATATTTTCGCCAGAAAAATATTAACTAAGCCTCGAAATTTCGATACTATATGTCTAGACCTTTGCTCCTTCTATGAGCAAAATTTTCAGGCTTGCATAATATTTTTCTGGATAAATAACTGAGTTAGCCGTTTTTAAAATTCGGCTCAAAACGAGGCGTTTAACAACACTATAAAATATTGACAAGAAAATAATTTAAAAAACAAGTTTTTTTAAACTTCTTATCAAATACAATATTATACAAAATTTTTTATTAAATACTATAATTATAATGTGATTTTTAATTTTCGTGGGAATGTTGCCAATTCATCAAGAATTTTGTTTGTCGTTGGAACCAAATCTCTGTGGATATTTAACAGTGCTAACCCATTTAGCCGAGATTCGGAAGTAGTACTTCATAAATATGTTTTCAACCTTCTTAAGTTGGAAAGTCCTTGCATTCGTACATGTTATTATAGACAAACATGGTAGAATATAAAACAACTTCAAAATATTA